GGGAGACAGGAAGCCAGTGGAGGTCTTTGAGGACTGGGGTGATGTGATGCCATGATTTGGTATGCGTGAGGAGACGTGCAGCTGCATTTTGAACCCGTTAGAGTCTGTTGAGGGATGTAGTGCTGATCCCGTAAAGAAGTGAGTTGCAGTAGTCAAGGCGGGAGGAAATGAAGGCATGGATTAGTCGTTCGGCTGCGGGGCAGGTGAGAGAGGGTAGGATTTTTGCAATATTGCGGAGGTGGAAAAATGAGGTTTTGACTGTTTGGCGGATGTGAGGTTCGAGGGAGAGGATGGGGTCAAAGATTACGCCAAGGTTGCGTGCCTGATTGGAGGGGGAAACAATGGTGCCATCGATGGTGAGAGTTATGTTAGTGACCTTGCTGAGGGTGGATTTGGAGCCGATTAGGAGGAGTTCTGTTTTGTTGCTGTTCAGTTTGAGGAGGTTATGTTGCATCCAAGTTTTAATAGCTGTCAGACAGGAATCGATGTGGGTAAGGGGTGGGTTATGGAGGGATTTGGTGCTGAGGTAGATCTGAGTGTCATCAGCATAGCAGTGGAAGTCGAGGTTGAAGTGGCGGAGTATCTGACCGAGGGGGAGGATGTAAATGATGAAGAGGAGGGGGCCAAGTACTGATCCTTGAGGAACGCCTTGGGTGACTGAAGCTGTGGCAGAGGAGTGGTTTGGGAGGGAGATGAAGTGGGATCGTTCAGTGAGGTAGGACTGGAGCCATCTGAGTGCAATACCTTCAATACCAATGTCCCTGAGTCGGGTGAGCAGGATGTTGTGGCTCATGGTATCGAAGGCTGCACTCAGGTCGAGGAGGATGAGAATATTGAGGGAACCAGTGTCAGCAGAGGTGAGGAGGTCATTGAGGACTTTGACAATGCGCATCTTAGTCGGACGCCAAGTCTCCAACTGCTGTCTTCCGACCAGATTCCTGGGTCGCTCAGTATTGAAACATGCTGCGCTTAAAGAAGGGTGATAGAAATAACTTTTAACTCCTCTCGGTCTGAGGTATTCCTGACCGAGAGTGGACCCATAACTATTTTAATTCGGGCCATGACTTGGCAGGCTGTCACTGGTTAAATGAACAAAGAGAGTATGGAGTGCAAATAGTGCCACTCGTTGTCATTTGCCCACCAGTGCCAGTGACTGTTCCATTTTACTCCTTAGCGGCCAGTGAGTGGGAGAGCATGTTCATTGTGTGATGTGTGTAGTGCTTTCTTTAAATAGACGTGTCATGTGTGTAGTGACTCCCTAATAGAAGTGCCATGTGTTTGCGTTATTTGCATGCTTTGTGATATTTTACTGTTAGTTGTACCATTGATAGTCCCTCCGGCCATCAGGGGGTGGGGTAGAGCAGTAACAGCCTGAATGACGGGGTGGTCTATAGGCACTGCATTACTTGGCCTTGTGATACATTTCCATGTGAGAAGCTTGGCTGATATGGTCCCTTACTATTAACTTAATTTATAATAAAGATTATTGTGTTACCTGATATCTGCCTGCTCCTCGTGTGTGTGGGTTAATTGGGGGATTAAAAGAACTGGGTGCCAGCAAGTGGGCCATTAGGGCTCACTCGCGACATAAACATTGAACACGGTGGTCTAAAAAGACAACAGTTAATATTGTTTAGATGTATGAATTAAGGCAAGTTTTGTGTGTGCAGGATCAAAGCAATTACTGAAAAAGCTTCTAAATAAATAGCAATAATGAAAGCACTGGAGTCTTCTTTGTCATGTAATGGCATTATTTCATAAAGTAGTTTGACCTGGTTTGGGTCATCCAAAGGTTTTGTATTGCTCCATGTAGCCTCAAGAAAGATGAAGAAGAAGACATATTTATTAATCCCTTACAGGGACATTTCTGTAAAATTCCTTTATTTTTCCTGGATTCCTGGATTTGTGTTGCTATTAGCATGGAATAATCATTCTTGGAGATGATTGGCCAAATGTAATCAGGCCTTAATGTGGTTGTTCTGGCTCTATAATTCATTTCCTGCAACCACCCATATGTTTGTTGTACAGGAAATATTTGTTATCCCCCAGAACAAAAAAATACATTTATTTTTCTTACTGATCTTAGGGCCAATTCACACTGTAGCTTCAAATTGTATTTCTCACATACTGTAGGTTTCTGTGTTTGCATAATACAGGTTTCATACAGTTCTTGCCTTCCACTACAGGGAACATTAATTTAGGTTTTCTCCTTATGAACTAATGCCAAATACATTACCACTAGAGTTTCATGGTTAAATAAATTGTAATGGCCACCTTCAAAAGGAAGATCTTAATCTCTGTGAAATGCAGATGTAGTTATTAAATACTTTTTTTGTCCGTTCCAAGGCTCTGGCAAATATAATGGTAGCTTTTATGGTTGCTTTCATTGCTATGTTTAGTCAGGTTCATGAAAGAAGCATGAAGTGACACACACAGTGGGAGAGTTATCGAGAGGAGGTGCTTTATGTAAAAACAGATGCCACACCATAGTGACTTAGTGGTTGTGTGTGTGCGCACGTGTGTGTCCAGCCTGTGGTTCTCTTACTTTGTAGGCTTGACTGTCAATGATTGCTACGTTGAAAAAATGTGGACCACACAAGGTGTGTGTGTGTGTGTGTGTGTGTGTGTGTGTGTGTGTGTGTGTGTGTGTGTGTGTGTGTGTGTGTGTGTGTGTGCTATACTTGTGGGGACCTACATCTGTTTACACAGTCACGTGTGGGGACTCGCCTCCCTTATGGGGACAAATTAGAGGGCCCCATGAGGGGAATCATTAATTTTAGGGTGAAGACTTGGTTAGGGTTAGGCATGTGTTGGTTATGGTTAAGGTTAGGATAAGTCTCCAGGAAATGCATATAAGTCAATGTAATATCCCCTGAAGTGATGTATACATGGGGTGTGTCTGTGTGTGTACTGTACTTGCATATTCAAACAAATTCAAAATGACAACTGCATGAATCTTAACACAATAAATGAATAAAATACTTTGCATCCATTATCTGCACAGACTGGTGTTGACACGGTGAAACTTAACGTGGCAAGTACAAAACCTTTTAAGAAGAATCAGTGAAACAGGCTGTTTTTCTTCCGAGTTTCAGCAGGTGTCAAGCAGACACTCGGTTATCAGCTCATTATTTCTGCTGAGCTTTGAAGACGGGCAGAAGATTGAATATGAGAGGGGAGCGCGAGAAAAGAGGCAATTTTGTAAACCTTTTGAATGTTTACAAATTACTTGTCCCTTTTTCAGAGGTGAGCTTGATTTTGAGTTAAAAAGAAGGAAGGTGTAATAAGAGTGTTTTTTGAAACTGAAACTGTACCTGCTGTAATGTTTTTAAAAAGCATGAATGTGTCTTTTCCCTCTCCCACTTGTATCACTTTCTTCTCAATATATACTCTTTATCTTTTCATTTGCTCCCCAATTTTCTCTTTAACTTTTATCCCCGAGCCTGGCTAACAGATGGGGAGAAATTGTGATTTATCTATCTGGCAATGATTGAAAGTGAGAACTCTAAACACACATGCTGCACATACTGTTGTACAAACCAGACTCAAACTTCTTTCAACACTAACTAATCACTTCACCGGGAAAAAATTATTCCCTCTTAATGACATTCACTTACATCAGTAGCACTTTCCCTTTAAATTACCGATTTAATCCACACTTTTTATAGCTCACCTTGATGCTAAACTGCAATTATGCATTTCTCTTTTCCTGCAATTAGCTGGAAAGTACTTTTTATTTTTTCCAAAAGGTCTATGTTTAGATGCAGGTCCAACCCTCAATGAGAGGAAAACTAACAAGATACTTTTATCTAATGAGGAGTTCTTGTTAGGTTAAAAAAAACTGAAGCTGATTTACATTTTTTTTCGCTCAGTAGGTGGAAGTGATCAGATCTTACTGAAATAGCAGAACATCAGTAAGAAGATGCACATTGTTCAATGCTTGGATCTTTTAACATTTGACAACCCACAAAGACAACCTGATCTCACCAGAATGCGTGACTGACTCCTTAACACCGCATTGCGTGGTGGATTCACGAACTTTGTTACATTTACGTGTCTGCACCACGCAAACAACCCCAATGTAAAGTGAATGAGGCTCTTTTGTCTACAACGTCCTGCAGTGAGCTTTTATTCTATAAAACGTTTTTAAAATCTACTTTATAGCTTGTAGTAACTCGCGGGAGGCTTCTTTTATTTTCTTTGTATTCATAATCATTTTTATTTTTCGTCAGAATGTATTATGGTGCATTAGTTACGAATTTTTGTTCTAAAAAAACAGTGCATTGTGTGTAATACAACTGTGATCTTTATTACATTAGTTAGTTTTTAAGGAAGGCCAGAGCTTCAGCTGTGTCCAATAGATTGTTCCCTTTTAGTTAACGTTATTTAAAAGAACATTATATTCCGATTTGATCCTGTCCCCTTTATTGTATTACGGAGAGCAAAGTGAGCGTCCATTCCCAGTGGATAACGGAGGGTTTTACACCCGGAAGTGAGTATTCTCCTTAATGTCGATTGATTTTACAGTGATATCTGCACTACTCATCAACTCAAAAACACCAGATTATCCTTGTTGATTACACAACATTGATTGGTTTAAATTGTGTACAATGCTTTTGTAATTGTCCCCTTCGATTCGGAGAAACAAATATTTGTTCAGTTTAGGATGGCCGAAGACACTACACTACCCAGAATCCTCAGCTAGAATCAATGTTGTGTAATCAACAAGGATAATCTGGTGTTTTTGAGTTGATGAGTAGTCGAGAGATGCCAGACATGCAATTCTCAAACATCACTATTGAATAATCACCCATGGTTGGTGGATAATTCAAATACTGATATTAATTATGCATGTGTTTGTATTTTTTTTTATTACATATTTTCAATTTCATATTTTACTGTTTGTTCAGGGCTACATCCGTTGAATATATTCTCTTTAGATAAATATACTGCTTTGTGGTGAATTTATAAGGCCAGAATATATAAATGAAGAAGGGCAATTAAGACAATACCTTATCTAGTTTTTTCAACAGTCTCTTGTCCATGACCACTTTCTGTAGAGTGCCAAAGGCCTTGGATGAACGCTCCAACCAAGGTCGGGAACTCCCATCCTCTTCAGAATAAGGCTCGTGTTCACACTTCAGCATCTTCTCTGCCGACAGCCACTCGTGAACATTGATGATATGATGGAGGATGAACGTCCATTTCTCCTTCAGCAGTAACGCGTCACCATCACATGTACACACACAGTACCAAAGATGGTTGGATACCATGCGCACCCACTCCTTCAGCTCGGTATTCCTGCTCTGCAGCATCCGCTTCTTCACACCTTTCACAATGTGCCACAAGTCAAACTCATGCTTGATGGTCTTGTGGTCCTCACGTAGCATCTTCTGCACTGCAGGGTGGCAGTCTGTGGCTAGTATGGAAATTGTCACATTGTGATCCTGAAAAGATATTGACCATAAATGTAATTTAATAAAGCCAACATCCCCCCCCCCTGTCCAAGTCAAACTTAGAGGGCCAGGCAATTTTCTCATGTAAAATCACAATTTGGTCAATTGTAGGATTAATTTTTGCAACATGGAATTTAAGACTTAACAATTTAGGTGGATTTCTATATTTTCATGTGACAATGTTTGTCCGAAATCATGGCCTCTCTCGCATATCATGTAAAAAATGTACATACATTATATATCTTTGGCTATCAGCAGAGATCCCATACATACAATGGCACAGGCAGACAGCTAGACATCACAACCTTTCTATTCCAAATTGACAATCGTTATTTAAAATTAGACAAAAGATTATACAATATATTGTAGCAATACTACATGTACTATTGACCTGTGAAATAAACAAACTAACAATAGAATACCTGTAGTTTGGAAATACATCTTTCAAGTCCAACAGGCTCCAACCAGTAGCTATTTTTGACCTCTGTCACCTTCACTGTCTGCTGGGCAATGATGAGCCTTGAGTTGATATCAAGCATGGTGTACGTTCCAAACGTAGCACAATGACCAGGGCTGTCACATCGCCCATCGCCTGACACAGTGACAACCTGATCGCCAGTTGCTGCCATCACTGCCTCATTGTGCAAGTTCCAGACACTGGTAACTTCCGGCAGCACATACACTCTCTGGATGTTATAGCAGTGTCTTGTCGAGAGTGATTCCAGGCCCAGACACTGGCATATCTCAGAAAATGGGCCATAAGCATTTCCAGTCAGAAAAATCGCGGCTGGCACTAACAGGTTGCAGGACATTGTGCCATTTAAGAGGGGTTGAGAAGTCCACACAAACTCATGGCCATCTATGCAGTCAGTTTTCACTGTCAGTCCCAAAGCCTTTGGCTGAACAGTACGGCCTGCTGATCACACATTTCCGCATCCGGCAAAGTTGCATACACAAAACAGCTTCATCAGTTGTGCATGGAATACCAGATATTGTTTGTCTGACACTGGATCTTCACCGCCATCCACTGAATGTTCTCCATCATCCTCGCTGTCTTCGCTGTCATTCTGTATAATGTCATCTTCAGTAGGGCTGTAGTCCGACGAAGAAGGCTCAGTCCCTGGAATGCTCTCCCCAGAGCTGGAAGCATCTTCTTCAGGCATTGACACATCAGGTGTTGGACTCGGTGGTGCTTTGGCCATTGCATCTGCAGGTGCCAGTGTGGCGGATCCACCAGCAATGTCCCTGCTGACGCAATATGGATGATCATGACTGAGCAACTGACTGTTGTTGATGTCATCGGTCCCAGTCTGCACACTCACCAAAGTCACAGTTTTACACGGGCATGGTTCCAGTGGTTCCGTCTGTGTGGCCACAGTCACTGACTGACCACGTTTAGTTGTGTGTGCCTCCAGTACCTGGGAATCATCACTTGCATCATCAGCACCTATGCAGGATGTATCTTCTGTCTGACAGGACAACAATCCTGCAGCAGTATGGACAGCTCGTTTGACCTGAAACAAAACAATATAAATATGTTACAGGTTAAGGTGAACTAGAAATATTCAAAATCATGACTACGATAAGTTGGCCGGAAAAACCCCATCGCCACTATTTACCAATGTGATTATTCCATAATAGTAAAATAAATAAACTGTTCATAGAAACCTAAGAATTAAAAGAACGTGATCGAGCCACCACAGCCCATCAGAGAGCAAACAATCAGCCTGAGCTCCATGGAGATGCCCTATAATTATGTAGACATATGTGTATCTCGGCCGTTGGAAAAAAAAGGAAAATATTTGTTTTTGAAGACTATTTAAGCAAACTCTCAAACTGTTATTACTCAGAGCAAAATATATAATTTATAAAGGATTGTGTTATTATTAAGCACATGTTCAGAAAATACTCAAGCAGGGCTAAGGATGGGCAGTCATTTTGATGAAGTATACTCCTACCAGGCTACCACATGTACCATGTTGTCAGTTGACATATATTTTGTATTATTTTCCAACACCTCATACATCTTGGCAATACCATCCATTGAACACCTAGTCCAGCAATACTAGCCTTTTTAGGGCTGTTTTCGACAGATGAGCGTGTGTATGGCAGTTTAATTAGTTGAGCTATAGAACACCCCCAATTCTCCATTGTACGTCATAATAATAGCTACCATTTAGTTTGGACGCGATTGCGTTAATTAATAAGGTCACACTGTGTCAGTAAATACACATGTGAGCTAGTAATCTGGTAGTGCTGCAATATTTACCTCTCTCTCGGCAGCTGAAGCAACTCGTTTGGTAGCTCGAACTTCACGTTTGTTGACACTGTCATTGTCTTGCGCGGCCGACGTGCTGGGACGGTCGGTGTTCCCGACTGCATACGTTGAGAAATCGAATATTGTGGGAACAGATCCTGGCTTCAAATCCGATGTTTTGTATTGAACCAGGCATCCAGACTCATCAAACCTCATTTTGGGGACATAATCGTAATTTTTAAAGTGTTCGCTGCACACACGTGCGTACTGATTCAGCGGCGGATCGGACCGTTTCATGGAAATAACCAGTCCAGGGCCGCCCCTCCCTACAGGCCAATCACGCAGGCTGCATGGGGCCCCGCCTTGCGCAGGGGGCCCCGCCCAGAGGGCCTCAGCTGCTGTGCGCAGTTATCCGCGCACCCCCGGCTGACACGCGAGAGTGAGAGGTGACAAGGGGAGCACGTCTGTAACCCGACACCGTTGCAATGAATCGACATCTGACCAATCACGGCTTTGATACGGCCACGAGTGCAGGTGAAGAGATGTCGGTGAAAAGACAGTTTCAGTCCGGCGCAAAAAACAAAACATGAAGAAACTAGAGCATCACTCGAAGGTGGGTTATTGTATGAGTCAAATGTACAACTTACGAATGTTGTATAAGTCAAATTGCCAATTGCCATATTAACACATCAGCTGCAATTCACGACATGAAGAAGGCAGTCTCTGCAGAGCATATAGGCTAAAGGAGATGCAGTTATTTCCAGCATTCTTTATTTTTATGTCAATTTGCACATTTCATGGTGATGCTCAGCCTCTCCCCTTAACTCCTAACAGTCATCATCATGTCAACCACAACACAGACAAATACTGATAGAAATGTGTGTGTGGTTGTTGTTACATTGCTGACAGAGGGAACTACCTATCATAACTATCTAACTAACTAACTATCATCTCACAATGTCGCTTGGGGCCCCAAGTTGGCCAGGGGCGGCCCTGGAAATAACCCATGCTTTGAGCAGCTTCTCATCCGTTAGTGGCAGCCTATGGAAATGTACTTCTTCCTTCTTCGTATAAAATCCATTTGTGCAGCCTGGGGCAATACAATAAACTCCTGACGACGACCGTTTTCTTTTAATGTAAACTACTGGTGCATTGCACGCCATGTTGTTTGTTATTGAGCTTTGGCCCAGGAAGCCGTACCTACTCAGTGACGTCACTGGGAAAGTCCCGGAGCAATGGAAGCGCCCATGGTCATTAGGCACGTATTTCAAAAAATAAATGTGCGTATCTCGATCGTTTACATTGGAAATAGACTAGATAAATACATTTCCTAATGGGAATATTGTCGCATGGAAAGCAGTTTGAAAAGTGTTTCCATTTCCCTTTAAGTCTGATGGAACGTCTTCAACATTGGCTCGGGTATAATTCCTGTATCAAATGGAAATAACCGTGAAAATCAATGTCGTTGTTCAGTGGCAAGTATGTCGCTCTGCAAAACATCTGTTGATGCGCATGGATCAAACGGCCAGCCCGAGGAAGCGCTGCTGATGAGGGACAATAGATCTCAACACATGCCATATCCAGTTGTGCATGATTGTTTCATCCTCTTCCAGCATTTGTGGGCTCCATTCAGAACTTTGTCAACAGTATGACCTAACTCTGTGTTGTTGTGTTGTTGATGTGTATTTCCTTTGCAAGTTTTCTTTATGCAATTTGTTCTAACTGGGTGTCTTTTGAAGTCTTCCCTAGAGACTTCACTTCTGGTCTTACCCTGGCTCTTTTAGGTTTACTGTTGATTGATGGGTATATTCTTGACAAATGAGTGCTCACTGTGACTTGGCGGTTGTAAGCATGGGTGCAAAGATGATGGGAATTGGGGCATTATATTCTCATTGGTGCTTCCCATCGTTTGACCAGCTTTCATTTACTGGCGATTGGCTCACATGTCCTTAAATGCCCATGTTTTGGACCACACATACCACTTCTACTGGAGAGCTGTCATGGCCTAAACCCAGGCAGAGGAAACTTTCCTGGCATCTTGGCAGCCGACCCCTCGCGGATATACAGCAGAAGCAGGGGGTTGATGGTACATGTGTCCTGCTGAGATTGTGAAGAGCATTAGAATGAGCTCTACTCCTCCCTGAGGTGGGTTTGAGCTTGCAGGTTATTCTTACCTAGGCACCCCCCCCCCCCCCCCCATCGTTCTTACAGATGGAAGGTGTCCTGTGCCAAAGTAGCAGAGCATGTTCAGGGCCTTGTGGTCCTTGAGGAGAATGATGCGCCAATACCAAAACAAGTCGTAATGTCATGGCCTCCAATTTTTAAAAGCAATGTTACATAAAAGGTTTTACTATAAAAGGTATTTAAAAGATTACTGAAGCCTCTTTCAGCCCACCTGAAATATATACACATTACCCGTAAACTGTAGGTGAGAACAGAAATGTCTGAATGATTTGGAACAGATATTAACTTTTCCCTGCCAACTCTGACCGATTTAGGCTAAAACACATCGAGAATTTAGAATACAGCCGCTTATTCAAAGAAGCATTCACAGCTAGCCAGCGGGAGGGTTGATGGTGTTGGTCTTGTGACTGGTGTGAAACAGGAAGAAAACAAGAGAGTAAAAAAGAGCGGCCATTTGAACACTAATGAAGACACTAACGAAAATGTCTAATGGGAGAGACAATGAGATTTGTTCTCTGTCTGCTCTGGAATCATGTCACATCTGCTCATGTATCTCGTACAGACCTGAAACCCATAATAACTCCCTATTATGACACACTCGATGAACCTTGAAAATCATCACGCAGCTGATAAACGAGCACTTGATAGTTAATTAGCACTAGCTTAGACTAGTGGCTGACGCAAGAAAGACAATGGACAACACTCATTAGGCATCACTCAATAAGGAGAATTTCCTTCAATTCAAACTGGCAAACATACTGAACACCGCCCAAAGAGGCATGACAGGCTTTTGAATCAGATCTGTTCATGTTCTTCCGATTTAGTTTATCTTCTGAAATTACACAGCATTTACAATACCTGTGCTTTGGACATGGTTTCCAAGAGAAAGCAAACATCTTTGTTCTGATGGTAAAATTGCCAAATTACATATCGCCCAAAACGATAGTCTACCATTACTTGCATTTCCTTATATAAAAGTGTTTCTGCGAGGATTAAATGTTAGTGTAAGGAAGACTAATATTTCCCACAATATTTGCCCATGCTGCGCTGCTCGGTTCACCATAAAATATGCCTTGGTGTGAAACTGGCACTACCAGATCATGCTGAGTACAACTTAGTCTCACTTCGCCAGCTCAGAGCCCTACCATCTGCCACGTTCTGTTACATTAATATGAGAACCCATTCACTTTTGTAGCTTTTTCTCTGTCCTATGTTTGTACGAGTGTTTGTTCACCATGAGGCTTTGGTTTATCCTCAAATGTATATTAAATTGTGTTTGTATTATGAATCCACAGTGATCTCGAAGCTCAGTTTGTTGACCAGTGTGGCATCAGGAAAAAGCCTGCAGGCTGTGTATACCAAGCAGGTGCGTACCGAGTTAAAAAGGGAAACCTTTCTATTTGATGCAAGATTAAGCACAAGCCAGTTAGACAGTCAGCCCGCCAGACAGGCGTGGGGGTGTCAATGGAAGGAAAACAAAGAGAAAAGGAGCTGCTGTTGCAGCTTTTCCATAAAAACTCGTTAATCCCAATTTAGCTGTCACAGGGATGAGGTGGTGTTTTGTGGTTGTGTGTGTATACATGTGTGTGTGGGATAGAGGGGGAATGTGAAGCAGAGAATGTCTTCTTGCAGTATACATCCTTGTTTCGTAAGCTGTCACATCTACTAGCCAATTAGTTAATGAAAAGCTTATTTCCTCAGTCCACAAACAATACTGTGTTTGCTGGGTTTAAGGTGAATACAGCTTTAAAACATAAAAATAGTCTGTATTGATTGTACAGTAAAGTGGATGGACATCTAAAAAAGAAAGTATGGCTGTTAACGTTTATTAAAGTCATGCCGTTTGACTTATTGCCAAAATCTTCTTGTTCTGTTTAATGGAGAACTGTTACTGTCTCTGTCTAGTCCAATGTCTATGTAAAGCCCGATATCTAGTATGTTATGTCTAAAAAAGCAAGCAGATTGCCCAAAATATTAACCAATTTATTTAACAACTGAAGAGAGTCAACCTGCCTTCAGGCAGTAATCTAGTTTGGAGAAACTGTAAGCATATTAGAAAAAAGCATTGTTACAACACTAACATAAAATCACCTGAATGCACTTTTGTAAGGTTTCAGCGTTAGAGTTCTTTTAGTTTATTGTTTTGTGTTTATTATTATGGCCTTGCATTTTATTTTGTTATTGACTCTACCCTCTCTTTTCAGGTGTCTACACTTCCTGTCGTTGTGTGTCGCCTGCCAGCTTGTGTGTCTCATGTGCTCATCATCACCAGCCCCGCCCCTGATTATTTTCACCTGTCCCCCATTAACCGTTGTGTGTATTTATAGCCCTGCTCTCCTTTTGTCTTTTGTTGGTTCGTCTTGTCTCCACGTCAAGTCCATGTCTGTAAACATTAGTGATCTGTTGAGCAACCTAGTAGAACCTAGAGATCTTGTGAGAATCCTAGTTGAACCTGGAGATCTTGTGAGAATTCTAGTAGAACCTAGTGATCTTTTGTTTTTGAAAAGTCTTTTATTAATAAGGTATTTTTGGAAGTCAACCGAATCCTGCATCTGAGTTCTTGTGAGTCCTTTGTGTCAACTTTAGCTCTGTTTAAGTCCACAGCATCCATTGACAAGACTATTGAGCTTCTAAAGCATTGTCTATGTTTACCAGGAAGTTGCTAACTTTGATCCTGTCCTCTTTATCTGCACATGTATTGTTAAATGTGCTAAATGTGAGTACAAAGAGCTGAATAAAAAAGTTGTAGGCCTTAAAACCAAACAATTAGCCCGAAAGATGCTAAAACACCAATCAAAAATCCTCTTTAAAAATACTTGCAGCTTTAAAATACACATTGTCATCGTCATAATAACCACATTTTAAATTACATGTGAAAAGTTGTCAGTAAACACAGTGCAGTAGACTGTTAATGATCTCACAATTCTAAGGCTGAGGTATCGATCAAGATGCAACGTCTTCTGAATGCCGAGGCAAATTATCCTCCTTTCACCAAGCACTCAGTGAGTGGGTGCAAATGCTTTATGGTATATGTCTGTCTGACAGAGAGCAGTCTGGCTCCGCTTCCTCCTCTCGGCTCTTAATTAGTGCAGAATGTAAAGTGACTCAAACATTGTGGAGCGTGCACATGTGCGCACACCTACAAAGGTTTAATCCCTGAGATCTATCTGGAAGGCTGCCAAGAGCGAGAGAAACAACCTCTATTACTCTCATCACCTGTGTCAGATAAACACACACACACACACACACGTTCATCCAATCTCTCTCTGATATTCTCATGGTTGGATTTTTTCCAAAGTGTGCACACTTTAAAAAGCTTTTCCTCACTTGTCCAATGTCACTTAAAGTTGGAACAAAATGTCCACACACACACACACACACACACACACACACACACACACACACACACACACACACACAGAGAGTTGAACGTGTATGCTGTGCTGACTCTTGATAAGGATAGTTGTATGTGAGGTGCATGAGAGGACAGGCTGCATAACGAGAGAAAGAAAACAGAAGTTAAACTGTATTCGTCTTCTTATGCTCCTCACAGTCACAAACACTCAGGGTCTCCTTGTTCGAACCACTCTGCTGTGAATAACTTCCATATGCTGCTATTCTGCATTAATAATTTAGATTCAGTTGCAGTGCTCATTGCCAGAGCAGAAAAATAATGTGATGTTCATAAGTTAAGAGAAATGTAAGCTATTTCTGTGACATTGTGTTCATTTTATTTATCCTAACAATGTTTTCATAGTCCCTATTGTACGGTGGCCGACCCGTGCAAACGCGCTACAACGGCCAAAAACATTAACATTAGGAGAAGAAAACACAACTGAAACAGGGACACCCAAAAGTGAGGCATACAGCTGGTAATGGATTGCCTGTTGATGTTTAGGTAACTAAAGCTGGCCAACTGTAAAATTACCTAGAATGTAAGTTGTATTGGCTTATTTAACAATGTGATCTCATGATTCCTTTCAACATTTCTTGCAAATCTGCTGTAAACTAGCTAACTACCTAA